TTTATAATAATCGTATATATTTTACCCTTTTTTTATGCTAAAACGATTGCTGTTTACGTTTTATAATATGTGTATAGTCTAATTAATTTTACTGCATCCACTATGGTGAAGAGGAGTCAACTCATTTCTAATTCTCATTTAAAACCATTTTGATATGTCCGTCTGTCCGTGCAAGTCTTGTTCTTGTTTGAACTACAACAAATCCGCAAATTGGAAGACAGCTAAGACTTTCGTAATTCCACTTTAATATTAATGGAAGAAATAGCGTTGGTCTCAGTCATTCATATCATTATATAAGTATTCAAGAACCTCAAAAATGAAATGAATTCATTAATTTTAACCTCTAGAAGGCTTAATACCCTATTATTTATTTATTACTAGAGTCAATTATTTGCTATCTTGAGAGAAAACTTCACCAAGATCATAAGCAAAAACTTGTGCCGAAAATCAGGTTTATTTCAAGCTATTGTAGTAAAAATTCCAATATTCTGCCGGTCTCAATATGGTTGTGTTTAGGTGTTGTTATATTGAGAGTACTCAAGATTCGCACTGAGATGGAAGTTGGAGATTTTATTTACTATTCATAGTTTTCTGATCACAAAAACTGAAAGAACAATACTTGTGCAGCTGTTGCAACAAGATTATCATCTATGTCCGTCTGTCCAATGTTATTGCAAACAAAAGTACCGTATCAAATAATAATACACTTCAATTTTTTTATCGAGACATTGAGGCGATTCTTTAACTCTGTCTGCTCTATGAGCGGTTTATTGTGAGAGAACCATAAGTTGGTTTAGAAAAAGCAAAAAAAAGGAAAAACAATTTCTTGACGGAAACTCTTTATTTACGAAGAAGAAAGTTTCCAAACCATAGAAATTAAAATGGATAGAGAAAATTTGATAAAATATACCTGAGGTTGGCTACGATAAGTCAAATTTGAAATCTTGCTCGATCTACCTTGCTCAGGTGATCACATATATCGGATATTTTCATCCATTTGCTTCTGGCGAATTTAAATAGTTTAGACCGCCTATAAGAGTATATATGTCTAAATGAATGTGTATATGTATATGTAAAACATTCAACATATGTCTGTAATCTAAAAAATATTAAGCCTCCTAAGGGTAAAAATTTTAATTCGAATGCTATGAGAGAACATATTATGCCCATTAGATAATAATTGGTGTTTCACACCATCTTGTGGATCGACGAGATTCGCTCTAAAGCGAATGCAAATTTTCTTATTTCTTACATTTTCGTGTTTTTACTGCAATCACAGGCAAACAATTGTTTTTATTACAAAAATAAAAAAAAAGAGATATACTTAACTGTACAGAATTGATAAATAACAAAATAATTCCTTTATTATATTTATTATAAATTTTGTTTTTTTTTTTAACTATCAGAAAAAATTTAATTTAATTTATTGTGTCTTTTGGTTTTGTTGTTTTTTTTTTCTCTTAAAACAAAATTTAGCTTAATTTTAGCAAATTTTTTTGTTTTTGTTTAATGATAATTTTTGTTGTTTTATGCGCTATATCGTACACTGCTCTATAAGTAAAAAATAAAATAAATTAAATTAATATTTTTCTAACGAAAAGTTAATAAAATTTATTAAAAGAAAAAAAAATGGATTTTCTTGTTAAAAAATAGATTGGAACTGCTTTTGAGATAAAGTTCGTAGCACTGAATTCTTAGGTTAACATGGAATCATTTACAATTCTTACAAGATCTATTTACGCGCGGATTATTTATACTTCATCGTTTTAATTCGTCTTCTGGTCGAATGCTGAAATCAAACTTTTTCGCGTCGACTCAACTTTGCCTTTTACAAGCAAGTTAATCTGCGAAGTTTTTCCTGGGAACTGTTGTTAATCTTTTCGCCAACCGTCGCTTGCATGGGATTACTCAGCGAAATGTCATTCGGTTTTTATACGCATCACTGAGCGGTGAAGGGCATAAGGAGGCAGAAGGAAGCCTCAGAGACCCCACAACGTATATATATTCTCGATCAGATTCGAATTCTAAATTGATTTAAGCATGTCCGTCTGTCAGTCGGTCAGTCTGTTCCTCTGTCTAATTATTCAAGACGATGTTGAGTGCTTTAAGAAATGCTTGCTTTCTAAACTAATTCGAGAAAATGAATAAGAATTTTGCGTTTGCAAAATGCTCTTATCCTTAAAGTGAAAATCTATTGATATCGCTTTCTGTACTTGAGATTAAACCCTTAAAATTGCTAAAAATTCTTATTAAGATATTTCCCTAACGAAGAGATCTTCTTGGTTTCGCGGATAGACGCACCATTTTTTTTATGATTCCATTAATTGCAACACGTTTAGGTATAGAAAAATTACAATAAATTTCTCATCTAATTATTGACGAGTTTTTATTAGAAAAGCTTGCTGTACGTTGTTGTGTAGAGATATAGGGGAATAAAGAAGAAAAATTTGCTTCTATTTTAAGGGCATTTGCAGATAGTCGACAAAGAACCGTGTATAAGATTCATTGCTGTTCACAGGGCTTCGGAGTGTTCATCTAAGCGGTGACATTTACAATAAAAAGGTAAAAATACTCATCAAACGATCGTTTGCTTCCGTTACATGGTTAAGCTATGTTCAATACCTCATTTTATAGCCTTTCTATATGCGATTAGAATGTTCCACGTTGCACAGTTTAAGTGGCAGTTTCAATGCAGTGGAGCACACTTGGTCGTAACTATAGCTAATGCTCGGTCAGTAAAATGCATAACAATTACGCACGCACCCACTAGGCTGCAACCACTTCCTATCCTTTTCTCTTTGCTCACTTCTTTTTGACCGTTACCGTTTCACACGCATAGGGGACAACCATTGAGTGATTGATCATAGTCAAAAAGGAACAAGTAAGAAAATTACGTTCGGCGATGACCGAATCTTTTATAATCCATTGAAGAAAAAATTAAATTATAATACACTGTAATATTGTGTAGGCATGTTAAATATATCTTTGTATAGATGCTACGGCAACGGCCATAGAGCATGCTTTCAAATTTGTTTAGATTTTTCAGCTATAGTTTATGAGTGAAAAACCAATTTTTTATTACTTTTGAAAAACCGAGGTGTTTTCAGTTTACATTGTACTGTGGGCGTGCCCCTCGATCGATTTGGCCCACTTTCAATACCAACCTGCGTGCAAGAACTTCCGATATGTTAACCAAGTTTGACGTCAATAGCTTTTTTTCGCGGTCAAGAGAATGTTTACAACAAACATTACTCAGACGGGCAGCCGGACATCCTTAAATCGATTCAAAATTTGATGCTGCCTCCGTTGCAAACGTTTGCACAAAGT